GGGGGGGGGTCGGTCCGGGGTTGTTTTTAGGGGAGACGTCGGCAGTCGGGACAAGACGCCACATCTACTCCCCAGCGACCACAGAAATAGCAACGACGAGACATGACTGGGCATTCCTTGGCCCAGTGGTCGCCGTTGCACCTCCTGCACCCACTGAAGAGCAGGGGGGACTGTGGAGGGATTGGGGAGTTTTGTGGGTAGCCGGGGGGTCGTCTGACTGTCTTGGGGTGGGAGCTGTTGGGGGACTGGTACGAGCTGGGTCGAGGGATGCGGAGTGACATGAGGGCTGGGGCAGGTGAGGATCGGCGTGGGGAATGGGGTAGGACGAGGATAGGTCTTGAGGGGAGGGGGCTGCGGCGCGGGGTAGGGGAGATTTGGATGGGGGTGGGTGTGGGACTCTGGATGGTTGTGGGTGTTGGGGGTGTGGTCGTTGGGCGTCGGGTGGGGGCTGTTGGTCGAACCTGTAGGGGAAGTAGAGCGAGGGTGCTAATGAGGTCTTTAAGGGAACGATTGGGAGTCTCGGGGGCCGTCTCAAAGTCGTCGTCTGAGTCGGGTGGCGATGGGGAGTTGGTCGAGCGGGTTGTCGAGGGGGGTAGGGGGACGTAGCAGGGGTCGACCTCGTCGTCTTTTAGGGGGGGTGTTGTCAGGGGCTTGTGGGGGGTATCCTTCTGAGGCGGTTCCAGGGGCTGGACCTGCGGTTTCTTCTGGGGCTTCTCTGCTGTTTCCGCCTGGGCTCTCCATTTCTCCCGCTTGGTCTCGTATCTGGCCTGCACCAGAATCTCCTCCTGTGCTCGCCAGGCCGCCGAGGGGTAGGATGGTGGGGGGGCTTCCTCGCCTAGGGGGAGTGAGTATATCCCCCTTCCATAGGGGACTCTTCCACTGGTCGGCATCTGAAAGGGGTCGAAGGTGGTAGGGTCTCAAGTCGGTAATATGTATTTTGTATATCCTATTGCCTCGGGGGTCTTCGAGGTCATATAGGCTAGGGGAAATTATGTTAACGATTTGGTAGGGGCCGTCATATTTTGGGGCTAATTTTGCGGCGAAATGCTGGGCTGCTTGTGATAGGGGTCGGTGCCTTCTCAATACCAATTGACCCACCCGAAAAATTTCATCGTGTCGGCCTTCGTCGTAATATCCCGATTGTTTGGCGAACGCTTCGCCCATGTATTTCTTAGCGAGATCGTAAAAGTAATTCATTTTTTCTATCCTCAATTTCCACAGGCCTGGGGGAGTTGGGTCAGGGGGATTGGGGGCGCCATTTGGTGATTTGATGAGGGGACTGGGAGGTGGGGG